GGTCAAACGGGGTCACATATCGAAAAGCGGTTTTTAAGGAAAGTTACTACGGCCTATGGGCTACCCGATGATATGCTTTGATTTGGAATTCGGTCAATCCATCTACTTGAAAACTGCTGTGCAAGTGTATTTTCGACATAGCCCACAAATACCTTAGGTCATCGCATGACCTTGAGAGGTCAAATGAGTGTCGGGAAAGTAACATTAGATGCAGACGAGTCGATTGGTGCCATTTTTAGCCCTCTAGCTCTACTGGGTGGGCCAAAATCTGCTGTGCAAATTTGGGCCACGTGACCTTTGCTGACCTCTGTAGGTCAAACGGCTGGGAGTGCCACCAAATGACTTGGACTGTGGATTGGACATGTCATTGCCTACATTGTGTGCGAGTTTCAGCTTGATCGGAGGTGTCCCGAGTCTGGGCTGAATCCGGGCTGAGACGTATTGTGTGTCGTTTATTTGCACATTTTGATCTGCCGAGGTCAAACGGGGTCACATATCGAAAAGCGGTTTTTAAGGAAAATTACTACGGCCTATGGGCTACCCGATGATGTGCTTTGATTTGGAATTCGGTCAATCCATCTACTCGAAAACTGCTGTGCAAGTTTATTTTCGAAATAGCCCACAAATGACCTTAGGTCATCGCATGACCTTGAGAGGTCAAATGAGTGTCGGGAAAGTAAGATTAGATGCTTACGAGTCGATTGATGCCATTTTTAGCGCTCTAGCTCTACTGGGTGGGCCACAATCTGCTGTGCAAATTTGGGCCACGTGACCTCTGCTGACCTCTGTAGGTCAAACGGCTGGGGTTGCCACCGAATGACTTGGACTGTGGATTGGGCATGTCATGGCCTACATTGTGTGCAAGTTTCAGCTTGATCGGAGGTGTCCCGAATCTGGGCTGAATCCGGGCTGTGACGTATTGAGTGTCGTTTATTTGCACATTTTGACCTGCCGAGGTCAAACGGGGTCGCATATCGAAAAGCGGTTTTTAAGGAAAGTTACTACGGCCTATGGGCTACCCGATGATATGCTTTGATTTGGAATTCGGTCAATCCATCTACTCGAAAACTGCTGTGCAAGTGTATTTTCGACATAGCCCACAAATACCTTAGGTCATCGCATGACCTTGAGAGGTCAAATGAGTGTCGGGAAAGTAACATTACATGCAGACGAGTCGATTGGTGCCATTTTTAGCGCTCTAGCTCTACTGGGTGGGCCACAATCTGCTGTGCAAATTTGTGCCACGTGACCTTTGCTGACCTCTGTAGGTCAAACGGCTGGGGGTGCCACCGAATGACTTGGACTGTGGATTGGGCATGTCATGGCCTACATTGTGTGCGAGTTTCAGCTTGATCAGAGGTGTCCCGAATCTGGGCTGAATCCGGGCTGCGACGTATTGAGTGTCGTTTATTTTCACATTTTGACCTGCCCAGGTCAAACGGGGTCACATATCGAAAAGTGGTTTTTAAGGAAAGTTACTACGGCCTATGGGCTACCCGATGATGTGCTTTGATTTGGAATTCGGTCAATCCATCTACTCGAAAACTGCTGTGCAAATGTATTTTCGACATAGCCCACAAATGACCTTAGGTTATTGCATGACCTTGAGAGGTCAAATGAGTGTTGGGAAAGTAAGATTAGATGCTGGCGAGTCGAGTGGTGCCATTTTTAGCGCTCTAGCTCTACTAAGTGGGCCACAATCTGCTGTGCAAATTTGGGCCACGTGACCTTTGCTGACCTCTGTAGGTCAAACGGCTGGGAGTGCCACCGGATGATTTGGACTGTGGATTAGGCATGTCATGGCCTACATTGTGTGCGAGTTTCAGCTTGATCGGAGGTGTCCCGAATCTGGGCTGAATCCGGGCTGCGACGTATTGAGTGTCGTTTATTTGCACATTTTGACCTGCCGAGGTCAAACGGGGTCACATATCGAAAAGCGGTTTTTAAGGAAAGTTACTACGACCTATGGGCTACCCGATGATATGCTTTGATTTGGAATTCGGTCAATCCATCTACTCGAAAACTGCTGTGCAAGTGTATTTTCGACATAGCCCACAAATACCTTAGGTCATCGCATGACCTTGAGAGGTCAAATGAGTGTTGGGAAAGTAAGGTTAGATGCTGGCGAGTCGATTGGTGCCATTTTTAGCGCTCTAGCTCTACTGGGTGGGCCACAATCTGCTGTGCAAATTTGGGCCACGTGACCTTTGCTGACCTCTGTAGGTCAAACGGCTGGGAGTGCCACCGGATGACTTGGACTGTGGATTGGGCATGTCATGGCCTACATTGTGTGCGAGTTTCAGCTTGATCGGAGGTGTCCCGAATCTGGGCTGAATCCGGGCTGCGACGTATCAGTATTGAGTGTCGTTTATTTGCACATTTTGACCTGCCCAGGTCAAACGGGGTCACATATCGAAAAGCGGTTTTTAAGGAAAGTTACTACGGCCTATGGGCTACCCGATGATGTGCTTTGATTTGGAATTCGGTCAATCCATCTACTCGAAAACTGCTGTGCAAGTGTATTTTCGACATAGCCCACAAATGACCTTAGGTCATCGCATGACCTTGAGAGGTCAAATGAGTGTCGGGAAAGTAAGATTAGATGCTGGCGAGTCGATTGGTGCCATTTTTAGCGCTCTAGCTCTACTAGGTGGGCCACAATCTGCTGTGCAAATTTGGGCGACGTGACCTTTGCTGACCTCTGTAGGTCAAACGGCTGTGAGTGCCACCGAATGACTTGGACTGTGGATTGGGCATGTCATGGCCTACATCGTGTGTGAGTTTCAGCTTGATCGGAGGTGTCCCGAATCTGGGCTGAATCCGGGCTGAATCTGGGCTGAATATGGGCTGTCTTGATCAACATGTGGCGCCTCCACCATCCCCATTCGCCGCCAATCGAGAACGGTCATGCATGCAGAATGTCTGCTGGGGCTGCTGCCTAATAAAGGTCTCCGTCTTTTGCACGATTTTCGGTAATAATAACCGTTTCCAAGAGGAAAGCGGCCATCTGCTTCGGTTCTTGTTAAAAGAGGCTTATTGCTTTTGTTACAGTAGAATTGTTTATGGACACAGCATACAACTCAGAAACTTATTTCAATCACTATGACTACACGCAATGGAAACTTGAAAATTGGAAGGCGGCCCAGATAATCTTCGGTGAACAGGTAATATCCAAAACATGACGACTCGTGGAAAGCATCGTGGAAAGCATCGATATGCAGGGGAACTACGTCAATAAGCACTGCATAGAAGGTTGATTGGAGGCAATAAAAACAGCGCGGGCGGCGGCACTGGGCCAGACCCTGACAACCATGCAGCATTGGCGTCAGAACGAACCATGGCCACTGGCGGATCCAGAAAGGCACTCTTGGACGCTGCGGAGGGCATACCTATCCTCCAAAAAAGTTTCTCCAAATAAAAAAAAAACTCATCGGATTTCGAATCCTTACGCACTGTTGTGCCGTTGAAAATTCACTTTTCCCAATAGAAGTTGGTAAGTTTGCGTTGTTCATCGCAAAACCGCAAATTTTCGTCGATTTCGGGCGCTGCGGGGGGCATTGGACCCAAATCCGCCATGGATCTGGATCCGCCAGTGACCATTGTTGGGAAGGTACATGCATGCATCATACTTACGTTTAGGTATTTTTAAAGTTCCCGTGTGCGTATGGGGCTGTCATGTGGTGTCCGGGACTGGATGGCGCTGTGTGTGGTGGCCCCATTTCCTCCCCATGCCGAGAATCGTGCTGACAGTAATGTGGATATAATTGCGAACATCGTCGAGGGTTTGTACAGTTGTGTAAATTGTATAGGTCCGGTCTCTACTTTGTGTCATGTGTGGCCCGGTGAGCGGGGTTTGGTGCGACCCTCGCCGTGTCTATTTGAGCTAGAACTTGGCGGAAAAATGAACGTATATGCGCCGTTACTAAACGGAGCGATTGGTACATGATGGTAAGATCTTGAGTAAGCCGGTGACATCCAAGATCATGTCAAGTACTCCAAGGCACGCAACCTTTTCCGCTCAGGTCATCACCTTGACCTTCGGACAACTTTCCAAAATGATCTTCAGGTATAGGTCAAATTATTGATCTTTCGACGCGTCTCGACGAGAGGAACACTAAGCACTCAAACATTGGGCACCAGGTGAAAATGACACATTGAATCAGAAAATTGCACTCATGAGTCGTGACCTTTCTTTATGCCCCTGAGGTCATATCGGTTCACGAAAGGCCTCTGTCAGTTTTTCACAGCGTCCAACTTTTGATAAAGACATGTTAGAACGATGAAAATATCTGTCAGTTTTTCACAACGTCTAACTTTTGATAAAGACATGTTAGAAGTCGATGAAAATACCTTGGATGTATTCAGCTAAACAATACGGATCGGATCGACTGATACACAATAGCCGTTTTCACGACGAGCTATCTGGCAAATACACATAGGTAGGTACCTTATTTGAACAAATCTGCACCAAATCTCTTTTACAGTGAATTTTTCGGTGAAATTTGGTAGATATTCATTTTGTATCTTTCTGAACCACAGTACATCAGTTTTATGCCAATTCAAATTCATTAAGTTTTTTGAAGGTGGGAGGGTCCCTTTAAAGCACTTGTAGAATTAAATAACTTCTGTGATAATTTGTTCGAGACATTTGTTTGCTGAGTGACTGAGTCTGTGCTTAATGGGCAGAGAAACGTGTTGCACACATTTTCCCCCGTGTGAGTTTTTGCTGATTCCTCTACATAGGAACAGTGAGTAGGGTCGATCAGTTTTAGATGCTGCTGAGAAATTTGAGCTACCGATCACATTCCTCTCCTTCTTTGTGTTGTGACAGTAGACCGAAGGCCTTTCCGAATTCGTGCCCGGACACATTAATTCGCCGATATTACGAGTCTGATCGATGAGAAGCCACCCGCCTGCGGACGAGAGCCGGTTTTTCTGCGGAACACAGACCGCGTCGTGACGTCAGGGACGTGCTTAGGATAAAGGAGCTGCGAGCGGGGGCCGTGGGCATTGGTGCCTCGTCCGTCCGTCCGTCTGCCTGCAGTTACAGATGATGGCCTCCGCCGCTACACTTCGCGTGCTGGCCGCACTGTTGGCCTGTGTGACCCTCAGCTCGGCAGCCACCCACCTGGAGCGGGTGGATATTGTGCCCGGTAAGTGGACACGGGATAAACACGACGTCGTTGTAAGCGGTTAGTGGACAGCCGTCATTCTGACGTCGTTTGTGACCAACCTATCATAGTCTCAGGGGAAAATGGCAACAATGTGTAAAATTAATGACCGGAGGGGTCCTGAAAGTTTGGTGGCGATATCTGCGGTACTTTAGGAGATCATTTTCGCCCCCACCCCCCACGGGGCGCGAGTTAAGTAACCCAACTTCTGAAACAGTTTGCAAGTCTCACCGCTGCCAGAGTTGTGAATAGATCACACTGAAGATTTCAGGATTTCATTTGATGACTATTACCTGCATTTAGCATATAATTTATGCCCCGGGGTCATCGCAAGCCATGAAAAGTTTCCGGGAGTTTTTGGACAATGTAAGGTTTGATAGACATGCTAGAGCAATAAATAGGTATACCTTGGATGTTGATAAGTGAAAAGCTGAGCCTTAACCCTCGCCGGACCTATTGGTTTTCTACATACGCGCCGGCCGAGGGGGGGGGGCGGGTACGACCCCCCCTCGCCGTTTCGCCCCTGGTGGAGCAAGCGCGTCGCGGAAAAAAACGAGCGTGTGCGCCGTTACGAGACGCAGAGATTGGTACCCGATTTTAAGGTCAACCGGTGACCTCTGAGGTCAGGTCAAGTGCCCCAAGGTACGGTTCAGTTTTTGGTGAATAGCTTCGCAAAAAACGGCCTCAGAGCCGCGATTTTGGCAGCATCGTGTTCGCCTCGCTCAGGCGCGTCCAATGATATTCATACTTTTTGTCCGGGTCAGGTCAACTTGGGGTGTTGACCTCAGGTCAAAGTCATGTCAGCCCCCCCCCCAGGTCACAAAGTTGGTCGAAAGAGGTCATGTCGCATATCATTCGATTCGGCAGGTCTTCCTGAGTCCATTGGTGGCTTTCCGGACTCGCTAGCTTAATTTGATCAAGAGTTATTGATGAAAAACTAATATGACCTTGATGACGTCATAAATGACGTAACGCAAGGTCAATATTGCAAAGGTGACGCATCTAACCTTACAAGGAGTGCATCAAATCACGATTCTGTGTGCTTGAGATAGTTGGAGGGAGATCGTTCCCCGCGCCAGAATAGCGGTTTTCATTTTTCCCCATTGACTTATAATGGTGAGGTCACGAAAATGACCTGACCTCATATGACCTTTAGGAAAAATCCGAGATATACAAGTTGTGAGACTCAAAATGGATACTAGATCCTGCAAGTTTCATTTCCCTGTGACATCTCCTCTGGCAGTGAGGGCGTTGCGAAGTTGCGACATCTGAAGACCGTGCAGAGGTTCACTTATGACGTCATAGGTCAGTGACCTGACCTGACCCAAAAATGCGGTTGATGTCAAAAGATCCAGCTTGAATCAAAGGTCAGGTATGCCAAGTTTCAGCTCTCTATCGCCAGCGTGTTCGGAGCTATCGCGAAAAAAAACCCTATGGGGGGGGCGGCACCCGCCCCCCCCCCCCCCGTCGGCCGGCGAGGGTTAAATATGTTCAGCTCAATAATACGGAACGTCTGACATGCAACATGGTCTTTTTCGGTCAGGTCATGACCTTGATCTTAGGTCAGCTTTCAAGGTGGCCTTTTTATCTACGCGTCGCGACAAAATGAGCGTGCTGTCGGCCGCCGGGAACATCAATGTGGTGCGAGTTTTGAGTATAAAAAAGAATAAGATAAAAACGCTCTCCGCGAAACCGTCGATTGGGAAAGTTTTCTCCTCTGGACTGGAGGCACCAGCCTCTTGACCTTAGGTCAAATCTGAAAACAACATTCGGAAAGAGTGTTTGCAGAGCTATCGAATACGCTTTTCCGCAGTGCTATACCTAACTCTATCGGTTCCCAAGTTGTGCGCCGATTTGTCAAAAATGTTAAAATGGGCAAGACGACCTTTTATGACCTCCGGTGACCTGACCTTTGGGATGATGTAGAACATCACTGCAGTGCTTTGCTCATTATTTTGACGCTCTTTCGAAAACTGCATGTTGCGTGTCTATATGTCCCGTATTGTGCTCTTAGTTCAGAAATCTTACGCAGCGGAAATTAGTATAATTTATTTGCTTCACCTATCTTGTATCGGATTTCACTCCGCTGTATTTGATCTAAACTTACCAATTTGTAAGTCAGGCCTGCGTATACCAATTGGCGGTCATCTAACAGAACGACGCCGCATATTCAGAGGTGGGGATTGGCGGACGGGCTGCCCTGTTGACTGCTGCACGCGACGGTCCGGCCGGCCCCCCGTTCGTTACGGTCCAAGGCGGACATGAGGACAGGTGGCGCCGCCGCCACTCGCATAGCGGCGGGAATGTGAACTAACCTGTTTACCATAAGGCCGCTGTGCTAACGGCCGCTGCGGGCGCCGTTTCGGGCTAGTTTTGACTTTGTACCGCAATTAATGGTTTATTTATAATAAAAAATGGACTAGCGAGAGTCGTGCCGGAATCAGAATTCAATGTTCTACAAAACTAAGCCATTTTCATTGTGATCACGTCATCGACTTCACCGCCCAACCCAATAAAGCAGAAATATGTCGTGTCACCGGTGATTACACGCAAAAATTCTTTGGCATATAGCATAAAAACCAGAACACCTTTGACTGCAGCGACTATGCGGTACTACAGAAAATTGTATGGCCTACCTAATGGTGCCCATTTCTTAAAAATTAAGCTGAGTATTTCGTCGCCTAACTCTTGTAAAACCGTATGTCCGCTTGTCTATGGAGTTTGGACCGTAACGTTGTGGCCGATTCCAGGTACCGATGGCGCGACACGCCGTCAAATACGATCTCCTCACGAAATGACCGTATATAATGACCAAGCCGGTGAGGTTCTGCGTGATTTGCATAATGCCGCCGACCAGCCGCGAAATGTCAGTGTTGTTAGAGGCGGCCTCACACACAAACATTAGACATTAGATGAGTGTGTGCCTGCGCTATGTAGTGAGTTGCAGCACTTATTTGCACTGCAACACGATGCTTTTGTTTGCAGGTGGCTGATTGTTACGTCTCCAGGGTATAACGCTACGTCTCCTCGTGTGTATGCTGGTGCACGTGCAATAATAATAAATTTTGCATCTCTCCCAGCAACCCTAACCAAATAGTCTACAGCAGCACTGACACTGAGTGCTGGGCCTACGCCAGTCAGATGCCCTCACTGTTCTTGATGCACTCTGTCGCTGGCTTGTCTCATCAGGCATCAGTGCCAGAGATGGTTACCCGTCTAGCTCGTCCGACTCCTCGGGGCTGGTTAGCTGATCCCCCACCCCTCCTCATCGACGAACCATTTCGTACAATTTTGATCGCGTGTCAGGATTTCCTCCTTCCGAACTTACTTTCTATACGTTCAAAAAAAAAACTATAATAAGATAAACATTTTTTTTCACCAACTTGAATGATCGCTTCTATTGGCAGGCCACGAGAACCAGTGTTATGTGAAGGATCAGGATAAATTCTACGACTCCGGCTCAACATGGACCGAGCCCGGCTGCATCAGGGGAATCTGCTCCGGAAAAGGAACGATGATTGAGCGCCAGAGGTATGCATTTTTTTGTCACATTTATCCATTTCTTGTAATAGATAGGGGTCGATAAATGTTTGGTACGTTGTCAATAACCTTGTCCTCACGCTCTGAGATGAATTAAACTTTATTTAGAGTGAGAGTAAAAAAAATAACTTTTAACTCATTACTTTTCATTATTTACCACCATATATCATGCACAATTAGCATGATAAAAGTTTTCTGTTATGACTCTTACTCTGAGCACCTATTTGTTTTGGAAAAGCGAGGCAATCGACATTCAATCGGCTATTCGAAGGCTCATACTAAGAAACAATCAAAAAGTTTCGGATACGAACTTTTTCAATGCATCAAAAATAGGTGGCCAATGTTCCGTTGTGAAAAGGACACGGATGTGTTGTCCAGTTTAGCCTTATCAGCAATGCACATGTCAGTATTTGCAATTGTTGAGCATTTGGTGTAGGTTGGCAGCTGTGGACGCGGCTGTGAACGATTCACTGCAGTTGTTTCTGATGTTCTGTTCCTCTGTCGCACTTCAGTGGAATGTTTCCGGTGTTTTGGTTCAGTACCTACAGCAAGCTGCGTTTTGTTGCCCTAGGTATGTAGGATATGTATTATGTAGTCTCAAGCAGTTTTCACAACGGGTTATTCGGCGAATGCACTTCGTTTGACCAAATCTGCACCAAATCTCTTTTACAATAAATATTTTCGTATCACTAATTTATTTCAATGTTTTAATCGAAAAGTATGTCTTATAATTTGAAAATGAGGCATGTAGGTAGGCATCTGTGCAGCCCAAACGCATAACTGTTAAGAAACACACTAAACCTAATTTGACCAAATCTGCACTTGATCTGCGCCTAATCTGCACCAAACGTGTACCTACCAGATGGCCGTCTTGAAAACGGCTTTTGTTTACCTAATAGGGGAGAGTGGGGAAAGATGCCCAGGGTTTTACTATGTCATGTATTATTCGAAAATGACGATCGGAAAGCAAAAACTTGGAGTTTCAACGGAAGCCGACATCATTTCTCTCCAAAAATATCACCCTTTCGTGCCTGAAATATTATAACTTTTTTTCCTATTAAGCATTTTCCTGAATAAGTGAAAGGGGGCATCTTACCCCACAGGGTGGGAAAGACGCCCCCTGGCGTTGGGGAAGATGCCCCCCTGCACTATAAGTGACATAAATGGGCACGTGAATCGCCTGAACGAATCAGTAGTCCCTTCGAGCCTGCAGTAGACACCAAACGTCATCGTAAGGGCCCTCAAAAGTAGTCGTAAGGGGCTTCAGAGGTCATCGTTAGGTTCATCATAGTCCAGCGCGGCCAAACAAGCCTCCGTGGTGGCGTTCGGAGACCACTGTGGGGCCCTTATAGGTCTTCATGACGTTTGAGGGCCCTCGAGCCCATCGTGGGGACCTCAGATGCCAGCGCGGCCCGTGGAGCCAACGTGGGAGCCCTCAAAGGATGTCGTGAAGGGGCCCTGGAGCCAATAATGGGGCCCACAGAGGCCGTCGTGAGGGCTCTCAGAGTCAGATGCCGCCCAAAAAGTCGCTGTGTGGGCCGAGAGACCGGCATGAGGAGCACCCGACCGTACTGGACTCTCAATAGTCCCAGATCGGCTTTTGTCTCTCATCACAAGCATGTAATAAATGATTTGACGGGCTGCTTGAAGGACAGCCTACGGATTTAGGGGGGCGTCTTTCCCCATCAGGGCAGGGGGCATCTTACCCCAAGGTACCGAAGTAACATTAAATCAGTACAATTTGTTAGCCATAAAACTACACCCTGAAACAAACTCTTTGGGACACAGTACACGCATGGTAATGTATCACGACTATAGCAGGGGACGCAAAAATTATCTACCTTCTTTGATATTTACAATGTTTTGACACCCAAATATTTTTTGAAAACAGCAAATAAAAAACACGCAATCACCAGCCAGCCGCTGCCCAACTGAGCTTCGCAAATTTTTGTGCAGTTTACAAGGCAGGTTTCCGCTTTACGCTAAAAACATTAATTTCCAGGTTCGCTTCATTGTTTCGCCGCTAAAGGGGGTGGGGCGTCTTTCCCACCCTGGGCATCTTACCCCACTCTCCCCTACCTAACTAACGCTATAACGTTGCGTGTTACGCGTTATATAAACACAACGCTATGTGCCTTTTTCGCTCGTAAGCTTTCGTCTGATAAATGCCAAACACCAGCATGGCAGAAGCACCTACGCCGCTCAGACATTAACCCGCGCCCCGTAGGGGGGGGGGCCGAAACGGCCCCCCCCCCTGTCCTTTTCGGTCGATATCTCCTAAACGGCTGGAGATATCGCCACGAAACTTTCAGGACCCCTCCGGGCATCAATTTTACACATTGTGACCAAAAATTTTTCCAGAGGCTATGATAGGTTGGCCACAAATGACGTCAGAATGACGTCATGTTCTGTCATTTTCGACCGAAAAAAGACCTTCGCGAGAAGACCTGTCAGGACTACAGCTTTGAAGATACAGAAAAATGATCAAGACATAAAAGGTGTAGAATTAATAGGGCTACAAAACTGCTATCTCGAATTCTTGAAATTTTCGAGTTTTGACCCCCAAAAATCAAAAAAAGCATTTTTTTAGATATATTCGCCAAGAAATCCAAAAAGTTTTTTGAGTTTCGAAAAAACCGGAATATATGTGATAGTGCCTACCGTCTTCTATCTACATACCGAATTTCAGATCGATACCTCGTTTTTTGGCCAAGTTATAGCGAAAAAACTGTTCAAAAATGATGACGTCAAATTTTCAAACTCAATTTTTGGCAATTCTAGAACTCGTAGAGCAAAACGAAGACCACCATTAGACTCCCCGTGACGAGCTGCATCGAATCGATACCCATTTTATGCAAAAATATCAACTTTGAAATTTGACCTAATTTGACCTGACCTTGACCTGACCTTCACAAAAACGTGACCTAGGCTGGCCCCAAAGGCTGCCTAACCCACATAATCGCATTTGTCATGTAAAATGGACCATAAAACATGTATCACACGACACATTCATATTGTGACCCCCGGTGACCTGACCTCGCTGTGACCTGACCTGGTATCAGTGACCTCAGATAGCAAAGTATGTGTTTGACGAACAATGTACCATCGATGGTTTTCAATAAATTACCAATTTACTCGCTTTCACAGCACATTTCTTGAATTGCCTGTGAACGGTGAAAATCTGACCTTTGACCTGACCTGTGACGTCATCGGTTTGACCTAGGTCAATGAAATTTGGTCACAAGGTAGTTACCGGGTGGGGCTATCGAAGGCCGTTTGAATTTTGAAAATCGGCCGGTAACTTTCCGAGATCTTAGGGGGGCCGAAACGGCCCCCCCCCCCTACGGGTGGTAGGGTCCGCCGGTAGCCCTACGGGGCGCGGGTTAATGACGATCCCCTACTTTAGAAAATTATATAATAGAGGAGCTGACCGGTTGGACTGATCGTGGTGCGTTGTCCTGTTGCAGTTGCGGCAAGGTCAGCTGCGGCCCGAACCTGAGGCTGGTGGATGGTGACCCGGACGCGCCGTACCCCGACTGCTGCCCCTCCGGCTGTGTGCCCGTCACTCCGCCGGCCGCCGCCGCCGGCCTCTGAGGGCTGTGACCCTCCGCCGGCCTCTGAGGGCTGTGACCCTCCGCCGGCCTCTGAGGGCTGTGACCCTCCGCCGGCCTCTGAGGGCTGTGACCTCCGGCCGCCGCCGTAACCGGCCCAGTGACCGCCTGTTCTGATCCCGTCGATCGCTGTTTCCCGCTCCCGTATCCGTGCCTTACCGTAAAGTGTGCGTGTCATGTGCCGCATTTGAAAGCGTCTGTCACTTAGAACTTAGAAGGCATTTTGTTCGAGGTCATCCTGACCCGGACTGTCCTTGCAGTCTAAGCAATGTCAGTGTTTGCGTTGTTACGTCTCGTCTATCGTCACTTCCATACATCTTCGTGCTTTTCTATGTAGTTAAAAAGGTGTCTTTATGGTGGCTGTGAGATTGAATTATGCTTTCTGTTACCGTTTCTGCTTATTAAGATATACTGACCTTACTATGAATAAATTGACTCAACTTCTCTTGAAGTGCGTCTTAACCCTCGCCCGGCGACGGGGGGTTGATGCAACCCCCTAAGGTTTTTCGCAAATAACGTAAAAACGGCGGCGCGTAGCGCATACCTTCTGGGGAAACCTTTCCGCACCTATCCTGAAAATTTCAAGTCCCGGTCTTTTCAGGTCAGGTCACCAGGTCACAAAAACCGGTACAAGGTCAGGGGAAAATGGGACTAGTTTAGCGGCAACTGAATGATAGTGTTATTCGTTGATAGCGTGGGTGCTATGGCACGTAGCGCTACCAAATTTAAAACACAACTTGGGACATCTATTTGACACATGACCTGGGAGTTTTAGATTCCAGTAACCTGAGGTCAGGTCACAAGGTCATAAAAACCGGTACATAGTCAAAATTGCACTAAAAATGCATGGAAACTAGAGTTCTTCATCGATTTGATACAAACTTGCAGGATATGGTTAGGTCACCGAGTGCCATTATACGCACCTTAGTTTTTTTTTCAAATTCAGCTGACCTGAGGTCATATAGAGGTCATGACAATTTTAAAGGAAATTTGCCCGAATGTGTAAAGATAAGGGATTTGTGCTTTCTTTCAACGTTTTTGTGTTGTACCTACTTACCTTAATTTACATCTACTTGGTGCTTGCAAGCTGCAAGAACGCTTGGGTCGGGTCGACTGAGGTCAACTAAGATCAAACTACGTCTTTGCTAATAACTTGGCACACGATGAGGCTAGAGCTTCAAAAAACGGTGTCGTTGTGTTCCTTGTGATCAGGCGGTTCGAATGATGTGCGATATGATGTATTTTGATTAACCCTCGCCGGCCAAAGGGGGGGGTGCCGCCCCCCATAGGGTTTTTTTCGCGATAGCTCCGAACACGCTGGCGATAGAGAGCTGAAACTTGGCATACCTGACCTTTGATTCAAGGCAGATCTTTTGGCACCAACCGCATTTTTGGGTCAGGTCAGGTCACTGACCTATGACGTCATAAGTGAACCTCTGCATGGTCTTCAGATGTCGCAATTTCGCAACGCCCTCACTGCCAGGTCAGAGGAGATGTCACAGGGAAATGAAACTTGCAGGATCTAGTATCCATTATGAGTCTCACAACTTGTATATCTCGGATTTTTCCTAAAGGTCATATGAGGTCAGGTCATTTTCGTGACCTCACCATTAGGTATAAGTCAATGGGGAAAAATGAAAACTGCTATTCTGGCGCCGGGAACGATCTCCAACTATCTCAAGCACACAGAATCGTGATTTTATGCACTCCTTGCAAGGTAAGATGCGTCACTTTTGCAATGTTGATCTTGCGTGACGTCATTTATGACGTCATCAAGGTCATATTAGTTTTTCGTCAATAACTCTTGATCAAATTGAGCTAGCGAGTCGGGAAAGCCACCAATGGACTCAGGAAGACCTGCCGAATCGAATGGTATGCGACATGACTTCTTTCGACAAACTTCGTGACCTGGGGGTGCTGACCTGACCTTGACCTGAGGTCAACACCCTAAGTTGACCTGGCCCGAACAAAAAGTATATCATTCGACGCGCCTGAGCGAGGCAAACATGATGCTGCCAAAATCGCGGCTCTGCGGCCGTTTTTTTTGCGAAGTTATTCACCAAAAACTGAACCGTACCTTGGGGCATTTGACCTGACCTCAGAGGTCACCGGTTGACCTAGGACCTTAAAATCGGGTATCAATCTCTGCGTCTCGTAACGGCGCACACGCTCGTTTTTCCGCGACGCGCTAGCTCCACCAGAGGCGAAACGGCGAGGGGGGGTCGTACCCCCCCCCCCTCGGCCGGCGCGTACGTAGAAAACCAATAGGTCCGGCGAGGGTTGAATTAAACGTAATTAATTACTTTAAGTTCACTTAATTTTAATAATATTTTAAGTTCACTTAACCCGCGCGGGGCTGGGGGGTAAATTTTACCCCCCCCCCCCTCGCGAACTTTTGCAATATCTCAAAAACGGCGGCGCGCAGCGCCGCCAAACTTTCAGTACCTTTTCTGACATCAATTTGACACGTTCTCTGAAAATTTGAGCGAAATCCGTCGGAAAATTTTTGAGAAATTCACGTTTTAGTGACGTCATGTTCGCCATTTTCGCCTCAAAAACGGCAAAATTTCAAACGCCGCTAACAACTTCATTTTAAAAGGAATCAAGGCGTAACAAAAAGGTTATACGTAGTTCTACTTTGTCTATCAAATGGCTATCTCGGTTTTTTGAAAATTTTGGATTTTGGCCCAAATTTTTCCAAAAAACTGACTTTTTTGGGAAAATAATTATAAAATCCAAAATTTTGAGTGTATCGAAAAAACCGGAATAGGTATATGTCATAGAAGTGGTCTATGTGCACCTACATACCAATTTTTAGAAGAATCGGTTCAAAAATGTGGGAGTTATTAAACATTTTATGACGTCACGACACACACAAAATTTGAAACATGATTTTTTTTGGAAGTTTTATAGACCTCGTACGGAAACAAAAATAGCACCATTCGATTTGCCGTGAAAAACTGCATCAGATAGACACCTTTTTAGGCCTTAACAACCAACTTTAAAAATTGACCTCACTTGACCTGACCTTGACCTGACCTCGACCTGAAATTCATCCAGAGGTGGTCCATATCACTTACTGAGTGTGCCTATTGAATTCTATGAGTAAAATCACCCATAAAACATGTGTCGCACATGCCCTTTTCTATATTTTGTTTTTGGTGACCTGACCTGACCTGACCTGACCTGACCTTGACCTTGACCTCTGAATGATATCGTATGCAACGAATATTGTCTTGGTAGCTTAAGAACACGTTTTGGGCAATCAGTCTCAGTCCATGACTCCATTCTTCGGCAACTACGGTGCAAGGCCGATACTGTAGGAACTTGCAATTTGTACCCTTGACCTGACCTTGACCTTGACCTCAAACTTTAAATTAAGTACATGTTTTTAGTTGTTCGTGATGAGATCTTTCGATTGGCGTTTGAATTTTCCAAATCGGACCATTAGTTCGGGAGATAACAGGGGGGTAAAATTTGCACCCCCCAGCCCCGGGCGTTCGGCTGGAGACCCCAGCCCCGCGCGGGTTAAAATGCATTTTAACAGGAAGGGGGACCCCCTTCCCCGAAAAAAAACTTTGAATGCCTCTAGGGGCCAAAGTATAATATGTGGCGAAAAACAGACTTCTTCATTGGAATCAGCGTCCAAAACTGTACACATGGACCAGTTTTTATGAAAATCTAAGGGGGTCCCCCTTCCCCTAAAAAAAACTTTGAATGCCTCTAGGGGCCAAAGTATAATATGTGGCGAAAAACAGACTTCACCATTGGAATCAGCGTCCAAAACTGTACACATGGACCAGTTTTAATGAAAATCTAAGGGGGTCCCCCTTTCCCTAAAAAAACTTGGAATGCCTCTAGGGGCCAAAGTATAATATGTGGCGAAAAACAGACTTCACCATTGGAATCAGTGTTAAAAACTGTACAGATGGACCAGTTTTAATGAAAATCTAAGGGGTCCCCCTTCCCCTAAAAAAAAACTAGGAATGCCTCTAGGGGCCAAAGTATAATATGTGGCGAAAAACAGACTTCATCATTGGAATCAGCGTCCAAAACTATACACATGGACCAGTTTTTATGAAAATCTAAGGGGGTCCCCCTTCCCCTAAAAAAAACTTTGAATGCCTCTAGGGGCCAAAGTATAATATGTGGCGAAAAACAGACTTCACCATTGGAATCAGCGTCCAAAACTGTACACATCTACTAGTTTTAATGAAAATCTAAGGGGGTCCCCCTTCCCCAAAAAAACTTTGAATGCCTCTAGGGGCCAAAGCATAATATGTGGCGAAAAACAGACTTCACCATTGGAATCAGCGTTAAAAACTGTACATATGGACCGGTTTTAATGAAAATCTAAGCGGGTCCACCTTCCCCTAAAAAAAACTTGGAATGCCTCTAGGGGCCAAAGTATAATATGTGGCGAAAAACAGACTTCACCATTGGAATCAGCGTCCAAAACTGTACACATGGACCGGGTTTTATGAAAATCTAAGGGGGTTCCCCTTCCCCTAAAAAAAAAACTTTGAATGCCTCTAGGGGCCAAAGTATAATATGTGGCGAAAAACAGACTTGACCATTGGAATCAGCGTCCAAAACTGTACACATGGACCAGTTTTAATGAAAATCTAAGGGGGTCCCCCTTCCCCTTAAAAAACTTTGAATGCCTCTAGGGGCCAAAGTATAATATGTGGCGAAAAACAGACTTCACCATTGGAATCAGCGTCCAAAACTGTACACATGGACCAGTTTTTTTTTTTAAATCTAAGGGGGTCCCCCTTCCCCTAAAAATTTTTTGAATGCCTCTAGGGGCCAAAGTATAATATGTGGCGAAAAACAGACTTCACCATTGAAATCAGCGTTAAAAACTGTACACATGGACCAGTTTTAATGAAAATCTAAGGGGGTCCCCCTTCCCCTAAAAAAAAAACTTTGAATGCCTCTAGGGACCAAAGTATAATATGTGGCGAAAAACAGATTTCACCATTGGAATCAGCGTCCA